CTGGCTAGTGCTTTCGATTCGTGGGTTTGCCTGGTTTCTCACAGGACTAGCTCTATCCCCTAACCTCAAGGATGATCTTCGTGCCTTCATTCTGGCTAGTGCTCTCGATTCGTGGTCCTGATTCCTCACAGGACTAGCTAGCTTATCCCCTAACCTCAAGGATGATCTTCGTGCCTTCATTCTGGCTAGTGCTCGGTTCGATTGTCCCGGTTCCTAGGACAACCAGCCCCGTCCTCATTCCTCTAGAATGTTCCTGCATTCCTATTAGCTTCGACGCAGGTGGATATTCCAACTTGATCGTCCAGCGAGAATCTTGTTGATACGAAAATCCTGTAGAACCTGGATGTTACTCGATAATCAGGGAGTATGTAGACCCGGAGAGACGGCGATCGAGGTCCTGCTGCAGTTCGATCCTCGGTTGATCGACCGAAACCAGAGGCCACGTCGCGACTGCCGTTCGGGGAGGCAGGTGGTCCAGGTTGACCGTCGTTTCGAGTGCACCGGAGCCAGAACGAGAAACATTCGGCGCGAGTGAAAGGAGGGAAAGGTTCGAGCTGTCCCGCGTACTGGTGGGGGACAACTGCGCGTTCATTAAGCGGGGAAAATGCGTGTTTTGATCGGGAACCGCTGCACCTCCTAGCTCGTCGATCGAGAACTGTCCGGGACTCCCGAATTTCGGGACAAGTCGAAGGGAGAGGAAGTCCAGTCTTCGCTGGCAAACGCTCGGGACCGCCGGCCGCCTCTCCGCAACCCCCGTCCGCGGCCGGAGATCAGTCGTCGCGGTGAAATTGCGCCAGTTCGCTCGGCCCTGTGGTGTTTCGGTGGACCAGACCAGACCCGCGCGCTTTGGACTGTTCTTCCGGTAGCTCGCGCTGGTGACCCTCGGTTCTTCGTGTCCGTGAGCGAGAAGTGATGTCCTTTTGAGAGTTTAGTCGATACTCACGCTGGAACGTTGTGATCGCAATGTTCGTTAACGATTGAATTTCCGAGCTATCCAATCGACTAATCTGTGACTCGTAACAGTTTCTGGAGTGCGCTTACTGAGATTTCCATTGATTTACACGTAATTTCCTTTTAATTATCTATTCAGTTTGTGAGCTCCGAGGAAGATACTTTTATCTTTTTACTAGCAATCGAATCGACTGATCTGTGTGACTCGTAACAGTTACCAGAGTGCGTTTATTGAGATTTCCATTGATTTACAAGTAATTTCCTTTCAATTATCTATTCAGCTTGTGAGCTCTGAGAAAGATACTTTCATCTTTTTACTAGCAATCGAATCGACTGGTCTGTGACTCGTAACAGTTACCAGAGTGCGTTCATTGAGATTTCGATTGATTTACACGTAATTTTCCTTAAATTATTCATTCACCTTGTAATTTCCGAGGAAAACACTTCCATCTTTTCACTACCTGCAGAGGAATTCTAAATTAGGTCACTTTGATCCGTCTAGTAGTTCTAGTGTTAATCTACCAACAATCTCGTCTGAAGGGTTGTTTGCCACTCGAAGTCCTGACGCTAGTGCAAAGTTTGTATTCTTTCGAAATTGCAACTTTTCGAGGAGCAGCGGATGAAATGATCGAGTGTACAAGCTAGTCTTTAGTCTCTATGAACGTTCTTTACGATCAATGCGTTCCGCGGGGGACGACGAAGTCTTTGCTCGTCGAACTTCGAGTAGGCTCCTCTCAAAGAACAGTGAACCAGGATCGGCAATGATTCATATCCAGAGACATTTAGTGTCGCTTCGAGTCGGATGACAACCCACGAAGTGCCTCGGGCTGTCGCCCACACCTCCAGGAAATAAGTAGGGCAAAATCCCTACGAGAGGTGGACCGAGAAGCTGAAGTCCACTCGACTCTCCTAACCGCGAGGAATTTTTCTCTTGGGAATTTCTTCGCTAAATAAATTACCCGAGCCCATCAGTGGGACTCTAGTTACCGGGAGACTGCGGGACCTTTATGAAAAGTAAAGTTTCCACGGTGCAGTTCGCGGAGCCCCGATCTAAATTCAGTTCAACATAATAGAGTGCCTCGCGTTCATGAATGTTTGACTTTTACAAGTAAATATACTCTTGAACTACTTCGGTGAACGTATCTACGATCTTATGCAATTAGAAAACTCTCAGCAATAAAGTGACACAAATGATAATCATAATAAGGAACTTTAATCGCAGAGAATCACGACGCGAACGATTAATTTATGATAAGGCTACAGCAAAGGCATCGAATCAAATTTATTAAATATCAATTTTACCCAAGAATCCGAAATCTGATCGTTTCCATTAACCCTTTGCGGACGAAGATTCTTTGAAATGTACGAAACCTTCGTGAGATTAAGATAAATTATATACCAATTGCTTAATTAATAGAAAAAGAGGAAACTACATGCTGATCTCTTGCTGTTCGAGTAGTTAAATCATTTGTCTATGACTTAGTCTTCCAGATATGAACATGCCATTTCGCCGAAGCGTCGACGTTCGTACGCAAAGGGTTAAAGATTAACATTCAAACATTGATTCCGACATTGTCAGACACATAGTCCACAAAAATCAAGACCACTGGCCAATCCTGAAACCGAAATTCTCGGGGAAAGCGAGCGTCGCTCCAGCTTCATCCCCAGTTCCAGCTGGTAGCCGTGACGTAACTCGCGCCCGCGAACGATTCATTTACGATAACACTGAAGCAAAAGCATCAAATCAAATTCGTCAGATACACATCAATTCTATCCGAGATTCCAAGATCTGATCGTTTCCATTAAAGATTAACATTCAAACATTAATTCCAACATTGTCATACATAAATACGTCAGACACATAGTCTATATTAACGATTATTTTACGATAACACTGAAGCAAAGGCATCGAATTAAATTTCTTAAATATCAATTCTACCCAAGATTCCAAGATCTGATCGTTTCCATTGAAGATTAACATTCAAACATTAATTCCAACATTGTCAACATAGTCTACAAAAATCCGCGAGACCACTGGCCAATCCCGAAACCGAAATTCTCGGGGAAAGCGAGCGTCGCTCCAGCTTCATCCCCAGTTCCAGCTGGTAGCCGTGACGTAATCCGCGGCCGCGAACGCAACGGCGTTGCAGCTCCGCCGAAGGTGCACTCTCCCCGACCTCGGGAATTTACGCAGTGCGCGAGAACGCATGCATCGAACCCGCCGCCGACAGTCGCGGCCAGCGGGTGGCCGTTCATCACTCGCCGCTCGTTAACGACCGCGCCGCCGTCTCGCTGACGGTATTAATTTCCCGTTAGTGGCCGTTCCGGCGATCGTCGGCGCGATACACTCGCGTTATTATCGTAATAGAACGGCCGGCTCGGGGGCGGGACGCGTCGGTGAAAGGGAGCTCATCGTAGAATTCGGGACGTGGATCTCGAAAATCCGCGAGGACTGCGCTAAATCACGCTCCATTCGGCGCAGTTCGATCGCGCGAGAGATCCTCTCTCGCGTAATCGTTTAGGGTCGCTCCGATGATTCTTTCGATAGTGCGAGTGGCTGGCTTTTCGATGAGTAGGGGAGATAATTTTCTGAGAATCGTTCGAGATATGTAATTGAGTTGCTCGGAGGCTAATGAGGTTAAGTGCAGAAAGGAAAAATTCAGAGCTAATGGTTCAGCGTTTGAAATTATTGTAGGATGCACTGGGAAGCTGTAACGAAGGGATTTTTGACGTAGAAAAAGGGAGAACGAGTGAATTCTTGTATTAAGAGGAATATTATTTATTGCATTTTGGGATTGAGAGAAATGAGGAAATATGGAAAATGGACTTAACCGAATTAGCTTCCGAGCGAAAAGATTGATACGGTTATGGTTGCACTTAGTATAATCGAATTCGTAGGTAGAGAAGCTTTTACAGAGACCGATCAAGATTTCGATGCAGAGGAGGAAGTTCTTTGATGCGACGCGATTTCCCCTTGTGACGATAGACCAGCCCCCGAAGTGCATCGTTTGTCGGGTCATTCGCTCGAGAATAACGAATCGTTGCCTCCGCGGACTTCGTTGGCTTTGATAACGTTCAATCGGTTACGAGGGAATTGCATCGCTATCAGTCGACAGTGATTCGGATAGAATAATCAACAATATCTCATTAGTTCATTCAACAATAATTGCGTCTTCTATGTTATATCTTACCTTATCTTGTACTTGCTACATTTATTCCTTTGTCTCTTCGATTAACCCTACTATCTCTGTTCGTGTGTTTAACCCTTTCCACTCGAGGAATTCAGAACGAAGCTGAAAATTAATCATAAACTATGACTAAAGACACCTATGATTCTTCTACGACTACTGAAATTCCACCGAGTTTCTACTATAAATGAAACAAATCTTCGAATGCAAAGGTTTAGAAGCTTCATCGTTTAACCCTTTGCACTCACATAAAATTTGATATTTAACATTGAACTGTGTATAGTACATTGGTGTATGAAATATTCGGATAAAAAAGCTTTGTCTCCAAATTAATTGTGATTTCTCTTTGAGTTCATTTAAAAAAGTATCGTCTTTGTATAGTTAGAAAATGTTAAGTATTTCCAGCGAAATACTTCTGAATGCAAAGGGTTAAAATGAACGAACAACAACAACAGGAATATTCGCACTCGACGGAGTGCAGCCACCGTTATCCGAGGCATGAAGGAAACAATCGATTTTCGTGTTATCAGGTCGACGGTCATGGCGCGGAAACGGGACCGGAACTCGACGAGGAGATGGAGAAGGTTTTCGCGATGGACGCCGGGGAGAAGTTCGACGTAGCTCGGCTCGGATCGCCCTCCGAATCGGCTGGATCCGATCGAGATCGAGATCGGGACCGAGGACCACCACCGCGATATGGCGATCACGATCTCAATCGTGCGTATTCTTACGATTCCCTTCGACCTCGCGTCCGTTCGCTTCTCTTTACATCGATTATCCGAGATATCGCGAAGGATTACGTAAATCGATTCTTCTTGGAACCCGAGGCTGAGGCAATTCCATTTCCCGACATGTCGCGGCTTTAATGCACTCTTTCGATGATGTTGTGCAATTCCAGTGCAGTTTAACACTTAGGCAACCGCCTAAAAACAACTAACTACAACCACTTCCATTATCTTCAATTGAACTCGTTCAATTTGGTTAAAAACTTTGTTTTGTGGAAACGAGAACCTTGTTCGAATTGCAAATAGTCTCACTTTAAGACTTACTAAACAACAAAAGGAAAGATAAACAGAATAAAAGACAATACGTTGTTAAGTGAAGAGTGGGAGATCCCATTCGGTTGGCTAAGTGTTAACACCGTTGTTTTTTTTGCATTGTTGCAACGACCGGCGTAAAATCATTCCTTCGCTCGATGTTTCGCGAGACTCTTATTCGAATTTATGCCCCTGCGGCTCGAAAATAATCTCGTGATTCACGTTCCGATGGAAATACCTTCTGAACGTGGCGTTCTTTGTTTCTCCTCGTTGCAGAACACCGAAAAAGAAGTTACCCACATCCGTACATGCCCCTGAAAAGCCTTCATTCCAGATCTATGCGACGGCACCTCTCACCGTAAGTTAATGGACAGATTCTATACGGAAACAGAAGCTTCTTCCGACACCTTCGGTAGAAATACAGTCATGATTTAACCCTTTGCGCTCCAAAGGTGCCTCTCAGTCACCACTCGATTGATGCATCAAAATTGTAAAATTTCGTATTTAACATTAAGTCTTGAATCTGTCGATACGTGAAACGTGGAAATAAAATACCATTGTTCCCCTTATTCTGTGAATAGATTCCTCGTTAAGTTAGTTGAAAGAAATATCATCTGATCAAAATAAATTCAATATTTCTGGTGACAAATTTTCGGAGTGCAAAGGGTTAATACCACATGTTTTCCATTGTGCATTTCCCTCTGAAATCGTGCGGCGTTCAACGTCTCAAAGAATTAGCCGCGAACTCTCGGAGCAAAGGGAACGTGGAAAGAAAGTGTCGCGGATGTTTTACAGCGAAGGATCCACAGCGGAAGTCGGGCAAGAAGAGGAGAACGGACAGGTGCAGGTCGGAAATGGCGGCGGTCAGGAGGGAGAGACGCAGATGGACAACGGACTGTCGTCGAGCAGCGTGCCCGACGTCGACGAGGAGACCGCGGAGGAGATGGAGAACGTTCTCAGCAGCGAGAGCGAGGCGCCGATCTCCGAGAGGGCTGCTTCCGGTTTCAGCGACAGCCCGCCGATCGGTAGCCCCAGGGTTCAGTTCGAGAACATCAAGGAGGAGGACGTATCCGCGTCGAAGCAGGACGAGGCGCCGGCCGTTGGCGCACCGGCCGGCCACGACGAGGACCGGAAGTGTCGGAGGCACCAGAAACACGAGCACAAGTAAGTGGAGCAACCCCTTCTGCGATACCTGTCGCGATATACGCTCGCAATCTTGATAACAGAGATTCACGATTATTACTAGGATTCTGTCCGATTACTCGAGGTTGGCGTCAAGGTGTAAATTGTTGATTGTTATGGAATTTTTGAGAATATCACGAGTATATAGAATTTATTAATTTTGTATTTCCTGTGTACTTAAATTGGGAATTGGTCATTTCCACCCATTTGGTAGTTCTAGTATTAGATTAAAATACTTAGTATTTATAATTAGTTCTTTTAGCGTTAAATACGAAAGTGAAACGATCTAAATGAAACTTCGATATACTTTATTTATGTTATACATAATGAATTGAAATGAAACTTTAGACGTACCTGTTATACAACTTTGAATAGCTTGTTTTCGCGATATCTTGTATTGTCCTATGTTTCGAAAATTGAAATGGCTGATGCAAGTGGAGATACGAGTTAATCCTTTGCTACTCTCACTCACCAATTAATTTCATACAGTAAAACTATAAAATTTACTTAATATTAAACTTTGCACAATGCATCGATTTGAGAAATATTCAAACGAAATATCTTTGTCGCTCAATGTGTGATTTCTCGTCGAGTTAGCTCCACAAAGTATCGATTTTATCTCATCGGAAGACGTTAAAATATTCCTAATGAAAAACTTCCGAGTGCGAAGGGTTAACAAGGAATACGCGAGGTCGGATTAGAAGGTGTTTTGGTGCAGATAAGCTATCGCTGTCGCGGGCAGGCTGATCCTCCCCAGACGCGGTATGCCAAGTGACTGTCACCCGCAATCGTCGCGAAGCCAACACCGAGAATCTATTCGAACAATGGTGTTACGCTCCGATTCGTCGTTTTAAAGGTTCATTATTTACGATGCTAGTGAGTCGCCTAACCGGCCTCGGAAGAACAGAGCTCGTCTATAAATAGTTATGTAGACTTGCGTCACGGTTATTAAAACTGCGCTAACAATTTCTGGTGACAGTAGCCGTCAGAGATTCGGAAACACCATTTCTATACTGCGATTAAATATTCTCTCTGTCGGACCCGTGATACTTCGTTCGAAATTTACGAGAAACTTTTCGGAATACTCTCTCGCAATTTATAAACTGGGTTAACCCCTTATCATTCACTTTCACTACTAAGCTAAGTGTAAGATTTCACTATCAATAGTTTAGAAGAAACGCAACATTCTCCACTGTACTTGAAGTGCATTTCATTTGAAGATAATACATTGATAATAGCAGAATAGTTGTTGACTGTTAAACTAGTCTAGAAATCTTGATCACTCGTCTCACTCGTCATTGTACAGCAAGGAGCTAAATATTTTATTTAAGACACTACATCTTGTACACAGTATCCGTAGGTAATGAACAACATTGATAAATTAAAATCTTGATCACTCGTCTCACCCGTCACTACAGCAAGAGGTTAAAATATTCTATTTATCATTTGTACACGGTACAGATTCAAATAACTGTTTGATCCCTGGGTAATGAACAACATCCTCTAGAAATCTTCACGACGAGCACTAATTCTTACATGTCAAGGGGTTAATTATACATTCCAAAGTGTCCAGGTCTAACGTAGAAATAGTTGAGGGGAATTCAAACGATTTTCGAATGTCAGACGCTCGCCGAGCCATCGAAAAGAATTCGAACGAGCCGACCTTGCTCGTAATGACTGATTGAAGAAGACCGTTCCCGTCTAATTCCCGTGCCGCACGAATTACGATTGTACGCCGCGCGTGCATGTGTGTGCGGCGATTACGTGCACGAAAGCATTGATCGCGACCGGCCGTATCGTCGCCGACGAATCTGCCAGTCAAGTTTAACCGCGACGACTTTAATACCGTCGTGCCCGAGCCCCGATAACTCGAGGTCGGTTATCACTCCCGGCGCCAGTCGTTTCCAGCCCCCTTCCGTATTCACGGCCGCGGAGCGAGGATCGCTTAACCCTTTGCACTCGAAAGTTTTTCGTTGGAAATATTTAACCCTTTGCACTCGAAAGTTTTTCATTGGAAATATTTAACCCCTTGCACTCGAAAGTTTTTCATTGGAAATATTCAACCCTTTGCACTCGAGCAAGTTTTTCATTAGAAATATTTAACATTTTCTGATGAGATACAGTCGGCATGGTTTGAATTTTAATCTAATTTAAGGATAATTCACAGATAAATTAAGCAACAAAGCTATTTTATTCGAATATTTCACATGGCAGTACGAAGTCTGATTTAAAATACTAAATATTCAACTGTATAGTTTTGCTGTGTCAAAGTGGTGATTGAGAGTCACCTCTCGAGTGCGAAGGGTTAACCTCTTGCGCTGGAAAGACGTGCCACGCACGTCGAGACTTTTCTGTAGATTTTCATGGAATAAATAATATTCTCCTTAGTTATTAACCCTTTGCGATGGACATTTCGAGATGAAACGTTCACATTTGAAAGACACTAAGGCGAACAAACGATTGAATTACTTGAACAGTAAGAGATCAACACATGGTTTCCTTTTTCTCTATTAATTAAGCAAATTCCCTAAATTTCCCTCAACTCCACTCAACCGCATTTGCTCCTAAGCTCCGATTCGGTGAAAAGTTAGCACAGAATCTCTCTCGCAATGCCACCGTTATATTTAACCCCGCGACGCGAATAACAAGAGCCTCCGAAACAATTCGATAACCGAAAACAAGAAGATTCAAGCGCGAATAACCAATCGCAAATGAAAGAACCCGTGAAAAAGCTACTCGAGCGTGTCGCGAACGCGAAAGGTGGAGGCGTCCGGTAGTTCCGGGTCTCGTGAGCGATTCAGGTAGTTGTACTCGCCCGCGCGACAGCAGCATTAGATAATTGCACGATGTTTAGCGGGCGGGACGCGAAACAGCTCGCAATTGCTGTCTAATGTCATGGCCTTCGGCCAGAGATTCACGTTGTCTCGGCGAGCGTACCAGGCAGTCTGATAGACGAGGCCACTGGCTTCGCGTTCTTCTAATTAGTCTCGAACGCGGCTCGGTCTTCCGCGGGTTGGACCCTCGCGGACGGATGTGACGATCGGCGTCCGCCTTCCTTTCGCCCTTCGACGATGTTCTCGCACTACGATGGCCGGCCCGACCGCTACAACATGGACATCGGCCGCATCAGGCTGCTCAAAAAGTATCTGTCCTCTCTCTGGTAACCCGCCACTCGCGATCGAACGTCCCGATCCCGGTGACCGGCGACTCGCGGTTCCCATTGTCGAGACCTGCTAGGTGTAAGTCCTCGACGAAGCTTCACGTTCGACGCGAGAACTCTGAACGATCATCGTGCACTGTTTGAGCTGCAAACTTTCGAACTTGTAACCAGCATTGACATTCCGTTCGACGAATCGCGAGCGATCTAATGAAATTAAAGTATACACGCGAAACTCGGTTGACTCGTTATATCCTCCGCGAGTTCACGGCTTACACCAGACAGGCTCGACAGTGCCAACCACGCGATTCAGACTCGTCTCGAATGGTACCGCGTCACAGCTTCACTGAGAACTCTAACGCACAGATGTCGAGTTCGGATGCTCTGTGGGATTGTGCATGGGGGAAACGTGATAGACACAGGAAGGTTTTCCTCACTCGTCAGGCAAAGAGACGCGGTCGTCTGGCCGGGACTATCCGTTGGGCGAATACCTGGTCGCGGCCCGTGTCTGATCTTCATCAATGGCAAGACCAGCCGGACTGACTGCCAGGGTCAAGCACAAAAACAGCTCTGGCACTTGGTCGCATGCCTCGTGTCAACAGGGATGCTATTGTTTATAGCTTTCCGCTACGCCGCTGGCTGAACCGACGTATATCATGCATCCACGCGTGTTGGAAAATTTCGGCTGCCGTCTTTTATTAACTCCCGGCGGGAAGTCACGTTTCGCACGCGGTTGCGTAGAGGCTTTCCGCTCGGACGGGGAACGAGGAATATCGCTCGAGCGAAATGAACTCTTCGAGTAGAGCTGTCTGCGCGGGTGTATAGGTTTTGGGGTTGAATGATTCAGAGGAAGGTGGGTTTTCTTTGGAATTCGATGGAGGTTTCGACGCTTTGACTGCCAAGTCGAATTTCGGTGACGTGGTTTTTTAGTGACTATTTCTTTGGATGTAGTTAGATATTCATTGTTAAATACAAAATGGATGAGCTAGCCTTCCTTTGATCAGCACTTAACCCCTTGCGACTGAATTTCGTAGGTGTAGGTACTCTTTCTATGTCTAGATTTAGTGTAGATCATACGAGTTGCTAACAAGAACAACGAGCTGCTAGAGTAGTCTTCAACACTAGAACAACCGAGCAGTCGAATCGACATTTTCAAGTTTGTCTATGGGAACTCTAAGAATACAGCTACTAAGATTTCAATCGACTTATGATTTATTTTGGGTATTACTGAATCAATTTCTTTAGTAATTCTGAGAAGCATCTGTTATCTTTTTATTATTGGGAAAGAACGTTGGAACGGGTCAGTTTGACCCATCTGGTAGTTTCAGTGTTAAAGAGTGAACCAAAACATGCAAGGTTTCCTCATCAGCAACCAAAAACACAGTAAACAGTCTCAATCTCCCATAAACAATCATCAACCACACTTCGAATCGATCAATCCACGTGGAAATTCTCAATTGCAGAAGATACCACAAGTCTCAGAAATACTCGCTGCAGTCCCCATAGCGATCCATGACGCAGTAAACAAAATAACAGTCCCACAGCCTCAATCTCCCATAAACAATCATCAATCACACCTTGAATCGATGAATCCACGTGGAAATTCTGAATTGCAGAAGACACCACCACAAGTCCCGGAAGTACTCGCTGCAGGAGGACCCGCAATGGCGGAAGCGGTCGGGAGCGGGTCTCCCGGACGGCTCGAGCGTGTTCGGTCGCCGCGTCAGCGTTCAGCCGGAGGAAGCGAGCACGCTCCAGGAGCTGGACATCGACGACCTGGAGTCGCACAGGAGCGACGATCCGCGCGGCATGAGGCGGCACAAGGCTGCCTACTCGACCGTGCAGATCGGCCGGAAGAAAGAAGGCGGTATCCCCCATGACACCTTCAAGAAGATGTACGACCACTCGCCGCACGAGGTGTTCGTGCAACTCGACGAGCTGCACGGTGTCGGCGAGGAGCGTGAATGGCGGGAGACCGCTCGATGGATCAAATACGAGGAGGACGTCGAAGAAGGCGCGGACAGATGGGGCAGGCCCCACGTAGCTTCCCTCAGCTTCCACTCGTTGCTGAACCTGCGCAGATGCCTGGAAACCGGCGTGGTCCTGCTCGACCTGGAGGGCAAGGATCTGCCCGGCCTCGCGTACCGGGTCGTCGAGCAGATGGTCATGGAGGAGCTGATTCTGCCGGAAGACAGGGCCGTGATCATCAGGGCCCTGCTGCTCAGGCATAAGCACGTGCACGATCACGATCGCGGCTTCCGGTTCGGCGGCAAGAGGAACTACTCCAGCTACAACAGCCTTCAGGTAGTTGTCCGGTCCAGATGCACGCTCGTCCGATCGCGGTTAATCCTTCGAGCGTTGCGTGAGCTCGAGAATCGGGCTTTCTACGGTGTACCCTCTGCGCGTTACGATACGGTAATTGCAGGAGAGATGGCCTGATCGGGATCTTATTCGCGAATGCTATAGCATTCGTTTTTATGGGGAATGATATGAATGCTGTAACCTTTGAAATTATGACGCATTGTGTATTCAATTTTGTATATACTTAATTTGTTGAAATTTGTATGGACTAATCTTCGGGGTGCTGCGAACGTGTTAACTGTCGGATGTCTATATTTTCAACTGTTGGTGTACTGATTTTTAGAGGCATGTTTAACTATTGTTCTATGTGCAGCCGAGTGCTGGGAAGATGGCACGTCTTGGGACATCGCTTCAGCGACTTAGCGAATTATAGAACTAGAATCGAATCAATTAGACGAGAGTGGTGCTAGTTTCCTAGCATTTGACTTGCTATGATTTTTATATGATACAATGATTTTTCTTACAAAAACCGGGCCATCTTTCGCGAACTGCCCGTCGCTGAAACACGCACCGACGCCAGGCTTCGTGATATATGTTTCGGTACGGATTAGAAAGGTCTATCGTAACGTGTGGAGGTGTTCGCAACCAGTTACACGTCACTAGATGTATTTGTTATTAACTCGAATACTCGATCGCGTCGCGCCGGTTGCTGATCCGTCGGATACGCTGTTCTCTCGCAGATATCCGCGGATCGTTCAATGTTAATGTTCACGCCCGTGACGTGTACGTACCGTCGAGTTTGAGTCCTGTGTACGTTCCATTTGCATCGCGGCGATTAACGTTTGCTCCGCGCTAGATACGTCCGACTAACACCGCCGCTGCGTGAGACACGGGTCCTGTCACGAAAAATAATCAATAGAAATCCGTAGAGGAGACGGGAGAGGCCTGACTGACGGTGTGTCCTAATGTTGTTTCCACAGTCCGTCGGTCTGGAGGAGGAAGACGCTGCGCGGGAAGCCTCTGAGAACCATGTAACCGAACATGTAAATCTCTCGTTTCCCGAAAGTCGATCGCAGTATTTTCAACCTTACCTCGCCTATAGTGTAGCCTCGCCCATCGCTAGACCGCTAAACCGTCGCACGTTCACATCTCTGCGCATGAACTTACAGGGCAATCTTCCCAGTGTCCCTCGTTAACTTCTAGTTTGCTTCTTGCTTACTTAGCCGTTGGTCGCTCGAGAATCGAGAGTTTTCATTCGATAGAACGAAGCTGGACCCTAGGTCGCAGACGTCTAACGCTAGATCCACGGTAGATCTCAGGTAGCTAGATCTACAGATCAAAGACAGTCGAATAACTCTGTCTAACTAACCAAGATGGTTGGTTCTCGCGGAATTTCCGGTGAAAAGACCGCGTCGGATAGAAAACCGGCTAGCCGAGTAGCTCTTAGAACTACGACTCTAGTCCCTGTAGGATTTGCCTAGAACGCGACACCTGTAAGTCCATGACACATGTATGTCGCTCCTCTCTGTGGCTTGCGAATTTGTCACTCTTGTTTCTTTCTGTTCTGCGCTTTACTTTCTCGCCCTTACTGTTCCACGTGCGAATCTGTCACACATCGTTCGACAACGGTCACCGCCCGCTTCAACCGTTAGTCCCTAATTGCACCTCTGTCTGTCGAGACCACCCCTGTAGTTCTCGTGTTACATACATCGCCCTACAGTAGTGTCATCCGTCGAGTTTTATGATTTTCATTTCTGAGATGTCTCAGGCTTCCAGACCTCATCGCGCGCGTAGCATCTCGAACCTCGCGTGTACGAATCATCGACTCTCCCGGTGCCATCTTGGGTGTCTTCGTTGCTTCGCGAGAAACAGAAAGACATCTGGCATGATGTATTTTGGGAGGCACGCAGACACTCCGGATGACCGGAACGCGTGATACATCCTGTATATTCCGAACGGAAATATCCTTTTCGAAATTGCGAACAGAGGCGGATACGCCTAAGCGATCGAACGTAATAAGCTCTATCATCGAAAACGAGGGAATTCCCCAGATAATCGAAACATCCCCAAGATTCCGAAACAGGCTGTCCGCCTCTGAAGGAGAATCTCTAGCTTATCCGGGCCGAGAACCTTATGCCTGACTCAACGCATCCGTTCGCATACCATCAAAGAACCATCGAATTGTACATTCCGCTCTAACTAGTCTTTCCTTCCGCCTGTAGAATTTGAACGACGCGAAGCCGAAGATCGTCTCGTCGAACCTGGTTCTGGACACCAACCACACGGTGGTCGACATGAAAGAGGAGCTGACGTACACCAGCAGCAACGAGGACTTGAAGAAGAACCAGAACGAGTACATCCTGAAGAGAATCCCAGCTGGCGCCGAGGCGACGATCGTCCTGGTCGGCGCGGTCGACTTCCTCGACCAGCCGACGATCGCCTTCGTCAGGCTGGCGGAGGGTGTGATCATGCCCTCGATCACGGAGGTGAACATACCGGTGAGATTCATGTTCACGTTGCTGGGCCCGAGGAACGCCGACCTGGACTACCACGAGATCGGCAGGTCGATCGCCACGCTGATGGCCAACACGTCGTTCCACAAGATCGCGTACAAAGCGAACGAGAGGCGCGAGCTGTTGTCGGCCATCAACGAGTTCCTGGACGACTCGATCGTGTTGCCCCCTGGCGATTGGGAGAGGCAGGCGTTGCTGCCGTTCAACGAGCTCAAGGCCAAGAGCGAGGCTATCAGGAAACGCAAGGCCAAAGCCCTCGAGGAGAAGAGTAAGCCTATACAGAGCGAGGCTGCGGTTAAGAAAGGTGAGCTTCGTATTTAGGGTATATTGATTCAGAGATCAGACGATAAACAGATGATCGATCGGATAATCTCAGAGATATTTCTAACGATCCGCTATTCCCTTAGCTCTTCTCGCTGGCGAGGAAGAGAAGAAACCTCCCGGCGACGACGATCCCCTGCGCAGAACGAAGCGGCCGTTCGGCGGGCTGATCAACGACATCAAGAGACGCTACCCGTTCTACCTGTCCGACTTCACGGACGGCCTGAACTCGTCCTGCCTGGCGGCCGCGATCTTCATGTACTTCGCCGCCCTGTGCACGGCGATCACGTTCGGCGGTCTGATGAGCGACAAGACGCACAACGTGATCGGTATATCGGAGACCCTGGTCTCCGGCTCCTGGACCGGAGTCGTGATGGCTCTGTTCTCCACCCAACCCCTGGTAATTATCGGCACGACCGGCCCCCTGTTGCTCTTCGACGAGAGCTTGTACAACTTCTGCCTGGCGAACGAGCTTGAGTTTCTCACGGTGAGAGTCTACGTAGGGGCTTGGATGGGGATCATCGCGCTAGCCATCGCCAGCGTCGAGGGATCAGTACTGGTCAGGCTGTTCACCCGGTTCACCGAGGAGATCTTCACCGGCCTGATCTCCCTCCTCTACATCGTCGAGACCTTCATCAAGCTGTACAATTACTTCGTGAAGAATCCGCTGCTGGAGGAGTACAGCTTCGTCCCGGAGACGAACGAGACCATGTACTGGAACACGGAAGTGAACGTCACCGAGATGAAGGTGGTGTCGCCAAACACCGGCGAGTCGGTGGTCATCCCGATGGAGGAGCCCGAGATCTTGATACCCGGCCGCAACGCCGTCGGTTTACTGATCAATCAACCGAACACCGCGCTGATGTGCACGATACTGTGCCTCGGCACGTTCCTCGGCGCCTACTACCTGCGAATCTTCCGTAACAGTCATTACCTCGGCCGGAGCGCTAGGAGGGCTTTCGGTGACTTCGGTGTGCCGATCAGCATCGTCGTGTTCGCGCTGATCGACTACGTGGCGAGGGTGAAGACGGAGAAGCTGTTGGTCCCCGAGGGACTGTCCCCGACGATACCCGGGAGAAGCTGGATCGTCTCGCCCGTCGGAGTCCATAAACCTATACCACTGTGGATGGCTATGGCCTGCATTGTGCCAGCGTTGCTGGTTTACATTCTCGTTTTTATGGAAACTCAGATCTCCGAGTAAGATTCCCGCAGCAATATTCGCGACGTACGATCCCTGGCAAAGCTCTCTCGCCTCGTATGATAGTGGCCAACGGATTAGAAAGAAATCGGCTGCGTATTTATGCCTGGCGAGACGGTGCATAGTCGATAAGCGGTATAGTCCGAGCACGTCACTGCCTACGTAACGAAATTTTATTTATAAAATTATTTGCTCGCGATTATCGCTCGCGTCACCGATATATTCATAGACGTCGATCGCTGTTTTATCGTTTATCACGTCCGCTATTATTTTAGTCGGAGAATCACACGACCCTGCAATGCGAAATTCGCGTGACGTAAATAGGCGCCATATTGAATATATTCCGTAAATAAAGTTTCGTTAATAGGAAAGCGATCTTCAAAGGCCATCGACGATTATAATGATGACTAGTGTCTAACTCGACTAAACTATCAGCGTAGTGTATTTCAATTCCATGGTGTTTTCTCTGCATAGCAGCGTTCCATCTGAATACTAACGTCTCCCCTTGATTTTTAGGCTGATCATCGACAAGAAGGAGCGAAAGCTGCGGAAGGGTAACGGCTATCACATGGATATAGTGGTGGTGTGCTTGATGAACGTTGGGTGCGGCTTGATGGGCGCCCCATGGTGTTGCGCCGCTTCTGTCCGTTCGCTAACGCACGTGTCGGCGGTAACGGTGATGTCCCGCACCCACGCGCCCGGCGACAAGCCGCACATCGTCGAGGTGAAGGAGCAGAGGGTGAGCGCCCTGCTGGTCGCCATATTGATCGGCGTGAGCGTGCTGATGGCGCCGTTGCTGCGGCGCGTACCAATGTCCGTCCTCCTGGGAGTGTTTCTCTACATGGGCATCTCGTCGACGAACGGTGTGCAACTGTTCGACCGGGTGAAGCTGTTCTTCATGCCGGTGAAGCATCACGGGACCGCGAACTACGTCCGCCGGGTGCAGACGTACAAGATGCACATCTTCACCCTGATACAGATTCTGTGCCTGACCGTGCTGTGGATCGTGAAGAGCACCAGAGCAGCACTGGCGCTCCCGTTCTTCCTGATTCTAATGATACCACTCAGGGCTCAGATGAGCCACTTTTTCACCGCCGCTGAGCTTAGGGCACTCGACAGTAAAGGTTCCGAACATGAGACTTTCGAGGACGAGCCAGACTTCTACGAGGAAGCTCCGTTACCTGGTTAGATAGTGCCTTATTCGACTTACCCCCTCGAGTATACCTTTCACCTCGTATTTCTCTTCTCCCCCCGTCCCGTTCCCCTCTGGCTACGATAGAACCTCGGTTAATCGGCTCGCGATTATCCGAACACGCGATCGTTCGGATCGGATTGTCCTCGGATTCTACCTCAAGGTATCAGGTTTTAAAGACCCCTTTTGGCTTTTAAACGAAACACATCTGCCTAATGCGAATTCAATAAGAACAAACTGCCAGAAACTAAAACTATTCTCCGTGTGAAATGAAAACATTCAGATTCGAGTCGTACCCTACAATGTTTTATGCAATATGACGCGACTCGTCAACGAAAATGATTATCGTCGTGCGAGATTGGTGTGATATAGTATTTTTAAATGGAATCTTTTATCCAGCCTGTTTGTCCACCGGTTCGGCGGGTTAATGGAGGTTCTACTGTACACACTTACCTCATTTGTTCCGTTCCCCTCTTCCCTCTCATGTCTCCTCTCTAGCTTCTTTTTTATGTCCGTTTCAGTTGAAAGGATTTCCTTGTATTTTCGTCGCAATTTTCGTATTCTTAGTAGCGTCTGCGTACGCTCGCGTGAGTTCGTCGAGAAGAGAGAGTCTATTTTCATGAAGAGAGCTGAGATATGTATACCGATGAATTAAGGATGAGCGTAGATAAGGGAATAGATAACAGAGGGTTGTTCTGATGCCTCACAGAGCTGCTGGTTAACTCGTTAAATTCGTAAAGATTATTTTGTACTGCAAAATTTGTACATAATCGATATATTGTGTAAGGTGAAACGGCGGGATCTCTTGTTACATGTATCTTGGATGTGTATGGGTACTCTCAGATATCAGCGTGTAGATTTCGTCGGACTGTATCGTTCGAACGTAATGCAGCAAGTTTATCCACGATCGTACAGAATGATGATGATAACCTGTCTCCGAGGAGGAAGATGCGTTAGACTATACAATAAACTCATTATTTTTGCTAGAACATTTGAAATCACGCCAGATGAAATAACATATTTATACATATATTCTGTGAAATCTTAATATTTTTCGAGCATCATTCGAATTATACTGCCGTGCGTAAAAATTGCAACCGAAAAAGAAACTGAGGTAGCGAGGATGAAAGAAATATTCATACGCGATACTGAAGTGTCTGTTACGCAGCCGACTCGATAGAGAACTTCTTTCGTATCTTTTCGTGCACACAGATCCGGGAAATGTTGTTCAGTTCTGTTACGTTTTCATTGGAGTTGCAGTTTTTGTTGCACGGTGGTATGCAACTCCGAGTATATACACGGAGTACCTGTACGCTATCTAATATATATTCGTAATCGACATGCACGACGCGTTTCACCCTTCCTGGAGTTGGTAGGAAGAAAAAGGTGCCTCTGAGTGCCTCTAAAGAACGGTGATGAACGACACGTTGCTCAGGAAAATTTTCTGCGTTAAAACGGCACAGGATTTACGAGAGTGCCAAAAAAGAAAAAAAAATCACAAGGTCGCGGATTAATTAATGGTGCTGGTCCGTCCACGTGGTCCCCGCGTGGACGAATGAAACTGAATCTTTTATAAAGAGATATGTCCGGTTAGTAATTCTTGTTATAGTTATTCTCATATCGATCAACATTAAATATCTAATTTTTCTTTAGGACCGTGACACACATGTTAGCACTGCGTGCGAAGAATTACAATCATTTTAGCAATATCTGTTGAATATATACGCTCTAAAGACGTGTTATTACTGCTTTTCCTAGATGGAAACCGGTATTTTCTAAGTGACTTAAAAAAAGGTAATTACCTAACAACTGTTCGCGAATCGTGGGAAAGGAGAATCCTTGTTGTAAATGATACGTGAGCAGTTAAGGGTAAAAAGTTTATTGTTCCACCGTACCACCGATCAACCATTTTCCATCGAAATTTACTTCGTCGCTTGTGAATGAAATCCTCCTTCGAATATTCTGGGTACAAAGTTAAGTCATACGCGTGTAAGTGTACAACTACTAATCAATTAATTCCCTTTTTTCGTTTTCTTTTTGACGAGCATTACGTTGCACGAACTAGAAATACAGCCACAGATATGTATGGTACTCAAAGAAACAAAAGGAAATATATTCAGAGACGTACCTGATAATATCATATTGAACCCAGGGAAAAGAAGCTTACAAAAAAGAAATGAAGAATTTTCTGAACGACTTCCGATTAATGTTTGGGTCGACATTTAATTCGCCACTCACTCAAAGAACGTCTTAACATAAATCGATCGTGTACTTATTTAAAATGAAGAAAAATAATAGAATATAAGCATACTTAAGTAGTGGACAACTGAATGCGCACGTATTGAGCTCCTACACATCTCTCCTTTGTACTTTAATTTCAGAGTAAGAAATGATCAGTATTGATAGATACTTTTGCCTCAATAACTATTAATTTTACGGTAGACGTTAGTTTTCTCAAGTGTAAAGTTTCTACACTTTTTAAAGAGACCAAGTTATAATATTAAATCCTCTATACATATATATATATATACATAATAATATCGTATATCGAGATACGTGCAACAAAGGGGAAAAAAAGAAGAACGAAAAAAAAGAACACAGATATGAATATTTTGAGCGCTGTTACAAAGAGAAAAGACATTCTATTTTAATTCGTTAAAATATTTTACTAATCCACTAAAAGTACCTTGTCGAATAATAACGAATCCTAATCTTATCTATTTCCGTAAAGACGAATGTATTGTCGCATTACTTACTATTATTAATTTATATGAAACACCAATTTCGAATTGAAAGAAGAAAAAACAGAACACTGTGCTATGTAATTGTGATAGAGAGATTCAGAGTCGCTGTAAGAAATACTGGCAGTACTTATGAGCATGTAGTATTAGCATCAAATTTTTAACACGGAATTTCATTAGATATGTTTATGTCCTAGTACATTAACATGTTATTATATACATACCACAGATATTACCTATATTGAGAGATTATTGAAATAAGTATCGATTGTTATGAGTTCATTAAAGAAAACAAAAAAAATGTAAATAATCTAGTTATCGTACAGTATTAAAGAGTAATAATTAGTAATAGATTCCTAGTAGATGGTTCACGCCTTATATTAGACCATGGAAAAATAAAAATATTTCAATGGCCCTCTACCTTATGGTCTTCTCACATCCTTGGAATTTAAACTATAATCATTCCCACCAAGATATACGTCCACGGCCACATGTTACACGCCTTTATCTGTTTACACCTTTGACTGTCACCTGATCTCTACATAGACTCGTTTGTTTTCATTATAATGTCAGTGGAGCTATAGGAAGGTGGTGAAGTTATATGTTGCTATTTGTTGAATATCAATTTATAAATGTCTTCGCCACAGAGACTAGCTGTTAAATTGTGTAGTGTGTCGCCTAACGCGTTGAAAACTGCTGAAAGAAGGTAATTCTTCTTTAACGATTTTAATTGAATAATGTAACGACATTTCACCTGCATTATTATAGTCAATTCTTAAGTCCAAAAACGCCAGTTAAAGCTACATATAGAAATATCGAAAATAACGGTCGTTTGTCTCCTTTCAATCTTGATACCCCTAACAGAAGGAGGATACTAGAAGATGGTCTTCCAAGTAAACATGGTACAGTACTCGGTAGTGGTGCATTTGGTACCGTGTATAAAGCTTCCTATAAAGGTACAATATTGGTTGTTAATGGATCATAAATATAATCCGCTATAGAGATATTTCATTGCTGATACATTAAATATTTAATAGGTGATCAGGTAGCAGCTAAAGTAATGCAAACTGCAAAGTGTACAGGTGCATTAAATTCTGAAATGCACGCTTCGTTTTTAAGACATTCCAATATAGTGAAAATCCTCATGATAGAACAAGGTACTTGTTTATCTTTAATAACAATGGAATTGTGTGGTACTACTTTGCAAGATCGTCTGGATAATACAGCATTGAGTAAAAATGAAAGGGTTTCCATACTGAGGGGCGTCACGTGTGCGCTGCAATTTTGTCATAACGCTGGTATCGTGCACGCAGACGTGAAACCCAAAAACATTCTAATGTCTGCAGATGACCAACCAAAACTGACTGACTTCGGTAGTTCTGTACTAATAGGGGAATCGGATGAAACCTTCGAATTCCATGTATGGCTAAGTTATTTGATTAGTTATTTTTTTTTTTATTTACGAAAGTTCCTTTTTAGGGTACTCCCGGTTATACAGCACCAGAAGTATTGAAAGGTTGTAAACCAACACCCGCAGCAGATATTTATTCTCTTGGTATTGTAGCTTGGCAGATGTTATCTAGGAAAATACCATTTGCCGACTTGCATAGCCACACAGTAATATATCTTTCTGCAAAGGGGAATCGTCCTAAAGATAACCATTTGAACGATGAATTCAGTGATGGTTATAAAGCTTTATACAGGAAAATGTGGTCACAAAGTGTTACGGAAAGACCTACGAGTAACCAAATCATTAGAGAAATCGATACACTCATAGCTCAATAATATTCGCTTCGTATAATAATTCTAAAGACCAGACCCTTTCAATTTTTTTATTATATGTATACTTAAATTAATGTTTACATTTTTATTATACAAAATATTAAAAAAAAATATTATTTTACGTGTCAGGCATTTCTCCACCAGGTACAAGCTGTAACAGAAATGTTCGAATGTAAGAACTGTAACAATAATTTTACGCAAAAGACTGTACCTTGGTGAAGTATAATCAAATATACAAAAAATTGATTCAGATATATCAATCACTAACCATCGTGATATTGCTACCGTTGAGCAAAATCATATCAAGCTTGGTCACTCTTCGTCCTTCAGGGGTTGCCTCGCTTTCCGTCACATCCTCCAGCAACATATTTACAAAGTCATCGAAGCCCAACAGTGTACCAACAATTTCCTTGTCATTTTTCATAATAATGTGTATCCGGGAACCGATGCATTTGTCAACCAATTCTGTAAATACACACGGCGGGACATTGCGATATTCGAATAAAATGAGGTTAGAAATTCGTTAGGAAAATAGCACCACTTACCTAAAGGCAACAAGGTCGATGGGTTTGTACTGACAGAACTCGTCATAGCGAAAACACTAGCAAGGTACAGGATAATTAAAAATAAAAATGATAACGCAACAACACTTTGTTTCTATTCCATCGAGAAAAAGCGGGAATGACACCGGCTCGGTTCTATGTAAATATTCGAGTTGACCAGCGCCATCTGCAACCCATTAACAAACCCTATAACAAACGATTTTACCAACCGCGTTAAATCACGATACAATCACTGCCATCTGACGCAAAACCCTCGAAACCGCAACGAGCGCGGCGCTATCTAAAGAAATGCGCGACAACTACCATTTTATTCCCAGTTTCGCCTATTTTGCCCAGAGTGCTCAGAGCCTGTGGTAATCACCGGTTCATTGATCCCTTGTCAAAGAAGTTCGCAGGATCACGATGGTCCATTATTCTCCGCGCTGTAACACCTTCGTTACTCCATCCAGTATTCTCGGAGGCAACCCAGTGTGTCGTTTCGCATTCCTCGGAACGCCGGATACCAATCGTTTCACTAAAAACCATCAGCTAACCTCTTTTTTGGAAAAAACATTTCATACCGTACGATCCGAGGAAGTGGACGATTGTGATCCGATCTGTTAACGTACAAAAATGTCCAGATAAAAATCGCTTTCGAATTGTTCTCGAAAATTCGAAGAGTAACAGACGTCCGTTAGGAATCCGGTGGAAGGGAGAAGGGCGAAGGATCTATTCGCGACCCTATTCCGTCCAAGGGACGTTCATTGGTCAATGCCGGCGTGTACCTGCAGCGAGCGCGCAGTAGCGGGCAGGTATGCGGCTATCCTTTCCCGCATGCCCCTTCCTTGCAAAAGGACGAAGCAGCGTCCGTTGGTTCCCGTTACGGCACTCTTCGGTCGTAGCTCGCGAAAGAAAGGTCGAACGCCGGAGAAAAATCTAGTGGCCAGTGGTGTTGTCGGAATTGCTCGTTGCCCAGTGTCTCGTTAACTCCCGCCGCGCGAAGTGGACGATTCCGGGCGAACTGTAGAGTGTGCGTGCCGTGTGTTGTTCGGCCGCGCATGGTCCGTCGGGAAGAACCACCCTGCCTCCTTCTAATTACTTTAATTACAAAGAGACCAGCTCGCCCGACGGGAGTGCGCGTCCGCCCGCCTCGTGTCCCGGTATTCCTCGGCGCGTCCCAAAGGTGTGCGACATTCGTAAAATCGTGGAACAATAATGGCGGCGTGAATCTCCATCGGTGATTGGACTCGTCGATCGTTCGCCGCCGACGAATCGAATGGATTCTCTTCGCGATCGGTGCAAAGGTGGATTCGCCCGTGACGAATCCTGTTCGTTCCGATAACGGGTCCAGACTCGTCGCGTCTCTTTCTTTTCTTTTCTTTTCTTTTCTCTCTGATTTATCCAGGCTAGCGTCTTGTCATTTCACCGAGTAACGTTCGAGGAGCACACGGTTATTTCGCGAGATCCGTAATACGGTCGGTAATGCGTATAACGAATAGAAAAGGTCCGTTACCCTCGTGGCATTCCGCGCGACGTCACGGTGCTCGTTACCCTCGTCGGGAATCGAGAAAGTGTGCAGCGACGATTTGAACGGTGATCTCTCGATAATCGAGTGTTACTTGAAACGTTGCGCCGGTCACTGGAGCTCGTAGATCGCGGTGTTACGTATCGAGAAATCGAGACGGCCCCCGATATATTCGCAATCAACTAGAACGGAACGAACGGTGAATTTTAGAGAGGATACCGGTGTAACACGAGTGACGGATGAATAGATGATTTAAAACGTGTCGCGGATCGGCCTGTCGTCGCGCGACACTTCCGACGAGACCACTGAATAGATTCCAACGGGTCTGACGAAAGAAACCGTAGCTAGACGAATAGAAAAGTGAATTATAACAGTGATGTAGAGCATACAGTTCGCTCATCGGTTAACAGGTTAACGACCAAGACGATAGTGACTACCGAATGACACTGAACGAGAAACGCCGATAGGATCGATTCTACTGAAACAAGGTCATGCAACGCAGAATCATTGAATTAATAAACGTCCCAGAACGTGTTTAAGAATAACCATAATAAACCATAGAATCAGTATCGATACACGCGAAAAAGGGAGGCAGAGAAAAAATCTCGAGATGAAAATCGGTGGATCGTGCGACGAGTCTGGGACGTAGTCGAATGAGAGGTAGCAGGAGAAGAGAGCTTGTCCGGATGGGAGTAGTTGCTAGAACGTCCATTCCTTCGGGCAGCTCGAGGTCGCGGCAGCGAGACCAACGGGAGGGAAAGGGACAAACACCGTGTGTTGTTGATCGAGTCGGGACGTGGAAAAATCGCGAGTGCAGTGCTCGGGCCGCGCGATGGCGGCTACCACCGGCAGATACGGTGGTGGTATGGAGATGAGGCACTCTAGAAGCGAGGATCTGCTCGGCGTGATATCCGGTTCGCGTTCACCGAGCCCGAGCGTACCATTGACGAGCACCGCGTCCGAGGACGACCTGATCGCGGCCAGCGCCCTCCACGAGGCCACCGACACCAAACCACCGACGTCGTGCTCCCTGTTGTCTTCTAGGGTCGCCAGACCGGCAGGTGTTCCCGCGGATCGTATCGATCCCGAGGATTCCATCAGGGACATCGTCACCGAGAATGACCTTTATAGGTTAGTACATGTTTTACGTCTCGTTCGCTAGTACCGCGTGGCTCAAAATGACATTCCTAGATTCTTCTGTAGCTACTGAAAGGAATGGATGCTTCTTAATGAGTAATTCAATTGATTTAGAAATATGCGAATTAAATTATAAATCGATTGAAATCTCGATATACAATATACATTTACGTTTCGTCGCTAGTACCGCGTGGCTCAAAATTACACATTCTTAGATTCCTTTGTAGCTACTGAAATAAATGGATGCTTCTCAGGGAATGAGTAATTATATTGATTTAGAAATATGCGAATTAAATTATAACTCGAATAAAATCTCGATAGACGATATTGGAGTTTCTATAGGAAAACATGAGTCGTCATCGTCAGTACAAGGATAGGTTATATTTTATTCGTTCAGATTGGAAAAGTGGCGCTAAATTTGGAGAAGCGGATTTCGTTGTGTTATCATAGTATCGCTTTACCGTTCAGCCGGCTAAGCCGTGGAAAAGCAAATACGAAACGGTCGAGAACGAAACGCTTTTGAACTCGGGTTGGTTTTCCGTATCACAATGCTCGCCCTGTTTGCCCCCTTCACTTGACATCCCGGGAAGTACGCGATCCAGCGGTGCTTGTGTGTTTTACTCGTGAACGCGTTCTGTGTCCCTTTGATTCGTATTACGAGAACATGCGACAATATTAAAAACGCCAATTAATTATGCCCGTTGAACGGAATGTTCGTTAGAGAATTGGAAAGCCAAACCGACGCTTCCGATAAAAAATGGCGGGAAGGTGTTTCGAACTTAACCCCTTGTCCTGCAGCTACGAGTAAGACTCGTGGTGAAGATCTTCGATATGATTCAACGAATATATGTATTACTCAGTTCATTCGAATTTAAAATAACTATTATCCCTCTGTAATCAACTATTACACTTAAAGGGAAATCTAGGCGTAACATATGTCTAGAATTTTTCTTTTTTTCCAATAAATTATTAATAAGTAGCCGTATCGATCAGAGTCGAGAAACTATAACTACAAACTTCTTCGTTATCTTCGATTGATCTCGTTCAATTAATTCGGTTAGAAACCGTGTTTTGTAGAAACAAGAACCGTTCTCGATGAATTGCAAATAATAATCCCATTTCAAGACTTACTGAATAAAAGAAAAGATAAACAGAATAAAAGGCAATTCGTTGCTAAGTGTTAATCAACCAGTCATTTTGACTGATACGATAGTTCTATCGTTAAGAAAGCCAAATAGATTTCCCATTAGCGCAAGTAAAGCTATAATTCCTATAAGCTATAATATAATAGTTATTATATTTTACAAGAAATTAAGCATATACCCATTGACCAAAAGAAGTGCGTAGCCAAGAAGTGTCGCCATTAAAATTCTATGAGTCAAAGGAAAATGATGTCAAAGGTGTGGCACGCGAATTGCCAATCGTCATTTCACTCGCGTCGCTGGTCGACGACAGCCACAGTGAATTTTTCACTAGTCCCCAGCTTTTTTCCACGAGGAAATCGTCTTTCACCGTCTTTTACAACCTGTTACGATCGTTCTTTCCGGCTCGTCTTTTTCTACCGGTTCGCGCGTCACCGTTTCTTGTTCCTCGGTCTTTCGACTTTAACCCTCTCGTACCAGGACATACTAATTAAATACTTGGTGTATCTAAATTCAGTAAATTTGATTGTTTGCAAACATCATATTCTCACAGCCATAGTCGACCTCTCTTATCAAACTGTGTTATCAGAAAATAAAGCTAAAGATATTCAAGTGGATTCAGGAATAAATAATTCGTGATCGAAAGAGAATTGCAAAATTATTGAATTGACTCGCAGCGCCAGTTGTTTAATTTCAGGAAAAACTAATTAGTGATCGGAAGAGAATTGCCAAATTATTGAATTGATTAGCAGCGCAAGTAGTTAACGCGGACGCAGGGCCGCCATGCTTCTTGTTTGCGTGCCTGAGATCATCAATGCTTATCGATTTTTATCTCGATCGCTCACGTTCGGTTTGTCAACACCGAGGCGTCCAAATTTCCGAGTACGTAAACCGTTATCTTCTCGTCGGGTCAGCTCGATCGAGCGTGTCCAATGTACGAGATATCGTGGGACACGAGTTCCTATAAACTTCCTACATACTTTTCGCGTTAGACAACATGAATGCAATAAACACTGTGCGAATATTATCTAACCTATATCTGAACCGCATTGCAATGGGTAGAGACAAATTGTCGAAGTCGATTCTTGTCTAACCGAAACCTCGAATTCTATGGTTTTCTATATTCTACTCTGTAAAATTCAAATTTCTCCTTATTTTTAATTATTTCGTTATTATGTATATGTATATATATGTATAATATAATGCATATTTAAACTGCATTGCACTGGGTACAGAACAAATTGTCAAAGTCAATTCTTGTCTAACCAAAATCTCGAATTCTATACTTTTCTATATTTTACTCTTTAAAATTAAAATTTCTCCTTATTTTTCATTATTTCGTTATTATATATACATATCTGAACTGCATTTCACCGGTTACAGAAGAAATTGTCGAAGTCAACTCTTGCCTAACCGAAACCTCGAATTCCATACCTTCTTTTCTACACTCTGCTCTATAAAATTCAAATTTCTCGTGATTTTTTCTTATTTCGTTGCTCCCCGCGTACACGGTGCACACGGAGCGCGGCATGTAACCATTACCGAACTAATATCCTCAAAACTGTGAGAGCAAGAAGGGAAAGTGGCGTTGCTCGCGGGACTTAAAGGTCGCCATTGTTTCGTAACCGTATAGTTAGCCGAGTGATTTTTCGATCGTAAGCATCCGTGCACGTACACAGACTTAATTAATGATGAATAAAATCTATCCGTCGATGATTTTCCTGCGATAAACGCGAATGCACCGCGGCATGACTGTTGCGCAATGTGATATAATCATCGTAGACGGATTTAAGGTGCATATTTGGTTTGATATCTACACCGGCCGCAATGAAACCGAACACACGCGCATCCATTCCTTAGAAATAACGTTACGAGTTCTTTTATTAGCCACGTTTATTGCAGAACAACCGAGTACTTCGTTTATCCGATAAATTTTTATTCAACGGATACCGAGAATAAAACGTACAACGTCGATTCTGATTGAACGTTGATCGCGAACTTCTCGATCGTGACCATCGTCGCGAATGTATCGACGAAAGAAACTATATATTGTTTCATACGACACACTATGGAACGAAGGTGTTCGAGATGCACGGAAAATGAGCGCAACCGAGATGTACTATTTTCCGATAATTTACGAGCCAGCGGGGACTCGTTTCCAATCCGATATTACAGATTTGCAAGTCGTGCCACCGGAGATCCGGGATTCGGAGTATGTGTGTTGACCGTAAACGCAGACGAGCAGCCAGTTACGTGGGTTTACGATGATTTCTCGTATTTTACGACGGGACGTAAAAGAGGCGAGTGCGTATTTTCAGTACCCTCGATTTAAATGTATCTATGTACTGTTCGGCCCCGCTTATTGGCCATCCGAACGCGGAATCGGCTCGATATCACTTGTGCTCCGTTCGGTACGCTTCTCCTTTGAGTATCGACGAGATTTTCTATGGTCCTTCCATTTCCCTGTAGAATAATTCACCTTGAACGAGATGTAAATTAGTCGTTCGACGGGTTAATCGCACTTCGAAGCGTCGTGCGAAGTAGACGAAGTACTCGTGTGAAAAATGTGCACCGATCACAACAGGTATCGCGTTTCGTTCTGGCGACTCGTCTTCGGGAAACGTAACACCCGTGTGCAATGTCAAGATCACTGTACATGCAAAAATACTGTAATGCTTAGGTCTCGAGTGCAAGACTTGCGACGTTTGCGTTCTCGTAGTGTTGAGAAATCGGCTGACTCTCGTGTTCCTGGGTGGTTTAACGATAGAAATGGAGCAGTATCTTTTTCATGATATTAGGTGTTTAACCCTTTGCACTCGAAAGTTTCTCACAAGATATATTCAACATTTCCCGATGAGACATAGATATTTTTTGAAACTAAGGAGAGACACATGAGTCAAGAAAGTTATTTTGCTTGAGTATGTCACACGCATCATACAGAACTTAATATTATAAGATCTAATAACTTTGTTATATCTAATCAAGCAGTAAGTCGCCTCTCAAGTGGAAATCAAAGGAGAAAAGGAAAAAGTTTCCATACTCCGATCAAATTGATCAAACGAACACATTCAGACCCAATGTATCAAAGAACATTAATTTCCTCGATCTTTCTTTTCTAAGCTGAATCGCATTGGCTTCCGAGCTGATTTATGTCTCCGATTTAAAGTGCTGCTGCCATCCTCGGCTTAACGAGCCTCTTAACGAAGAAACGCGTTTTTCAATCAAATCGAGCGCAGCGAAGGGATCCTCGGGAAAAAGAAAGGACGTTGAATAATTACTGTTAACTAGCCTTGATCGAGGATTCACTGGTCGGATCCGCGTTAAAAGTCACAGACGGCCGTCTAGAATTTTCACCGGCGCACCGATATATAAATACTCGGCCGTGCTAATTATAATTCTAATACGAACCGGAAGTACCGTAAAACCGTGTCTCGTCGCGCACAATGGGCGCGTAGACGAGAACTCGCGTTTCCGACTCCATTCTTCCATTGTGCGTCGGGTTTGATTTAGACGAGATGGTTGAATCATTGACGAGCTATTTTAACGGCCGGCATTCACCGGGTATTTTCCGAACGCGACGTGTTCCCTTGAAACGCTTAAGGCTCGGTACACACCGGTTATCGAATATCGATACACACGCCGAGCATTTTCGTGCGGGCTACACAAAGTTCGAATGTGGAGTAGAAAGATAGCAGCCTAAGTTTAGATCCTCTATATCTTGCACACGTAACGCTAGAACTGCCAGATGGATCAAACGCAATCAAGATTCCTCCGTTACAAGCATTACAAAGATACCAGGTGCCTCGCTGAGAAACGATCGAATCACTCGATTAACACCAGAACCACCGGGCA